GTTTATGTTCAGGCCTTGGCCAATCGGTTTGTGAGATTAGACATTTCCGATCCCAGTTGAGTATTGGCGTGTGTGGTTTCTCGGTCCTCATTATATGATCGCATCAGAGAGCGCTAGTATGACGATCCGCATTTTCTTGTCCTTAAGGACAGAGTTCAGCATGATGATGCTAGAGATGTGACCATCGATGATGATGGGGTGTTGAGGATGTAAGGACGGATTTGCATGACCAATGTGGATGGGCTTCGGGAGTTGATTCTGGAGGAGGCCCATAGCTCGCGGTATTCCATTCATCCGGATGCCGCGAAGATGTAGCAGGATTTGAAGCAGCACTATTGGTGGAGAAGAATGAAGAAGATATTATGGAATTTGTAGCTCAGTGTCTCAATTGTCAGCAGGTGAAATATGAGCATCAGAGACCGGGTGGCTTGCTACAACAGATGGATATTCCTGAGTGGAAGTGGGAGAGAATCACTATGGACTTTGTTGTTGGACTTCCACAGACTTTGAGGAAGTTCGATGCTATTTGGGTAATTGTGGATCGGCTGACCAAGTCCGTGCACTTCATTCCTGTGTGTACTACCTATTCTTCAGAGCGATTGGCAGGGATTTATATCTGGGAGATTGTTCGTTTGCATGGCATTCTGGTTTCCATCATTTCAGATAGAGGTACTCATTTTACTTCACAGTTTTGGAGAGCCATGCAAAGAGAGTTGGGTACTCAAGTTGAGTTGAGCGCAGCTTTTTATCCTCAGACGGACGGGCAGTCCGAGCGTACTATTCAGATATTGGAGGACATGTTGCGTGCTTGTGTTATTGATTTCGGACTGTCCTAAGATGACTTCCTACCGCTTACAGAGTTTGCTTATAACAACTACCAGTTGAGTATTCAGATGTCTCCATATGAGGCTTTGTATGGGAGGCGGTGCAGATCTCCAGCTGGTTGGTCTGAGCCCGGTGAGGTCAAGCTATTAGGGACTGATTTGGTACAGGATGCTTTGGAGAAGGTGAAGGTGATTCAGGAGAGTCTTCGAATAGCGCAGTCGAGGCAAAAGAATTATGCTGATAGGAAGGTTCGAAATGTGTCCTACATGGTTGGCGAGAAAGTTCTGTTGAAGGTTTCACCCATGAAGGGTGTTATGAGATTTGGGAAGAAAGGGAAATTGAGTCCTCGGTTCATTGGGACTTTTGAGGTGCTTCGGAGGATTGGGGAGGTGGCTTATGAGCTTGCTTTGCCACCCAGCTTGTCGAGTGTGCATCATGTATTTCATGTTTCTATGCTCCGGAAGTATATCGGGGATCCGTTTCATGTTTTGGACTTCAGCACGGTTCAGTTAGATAATGATCTGAAATATGATGTAGAGCCAGTAGCTATTTTGGGTCGTCAGGTTCGGAAGTTAAGGTCAAAGGATATAACGTCAGTGAAAGTGCAGTGGAGAGGTCGGCCCGTGGAGGAGGTTACCTGGGAGACCGAGCGGGAGATGCGGAGCAGATATCCTCACCTATTCGAGGCTTTAGGTATGTTTCTTGACTCGTTCGAGGACGAACATTTTTTTTAAGTTGGGGAGGATGTGACGAACCGGTCAGTCGTCTCATGAGTTACCGCTCCGTTTCCCCCATTACAACTTCTTTATGCTTCGTTTATCCGTATTTTTGTGGTATCGGGTTGGTCAGATCAAGTCCGGAATTAGTTTGGTAAAGTTTGAGACACTTAGTCTCTTTTAAGAAGGCTTAAGTTGGAAAAGTCAACTGGATGTTGACTTATGTGTTAGAAGGCTTGGAAGTGAGTTCCGATGGTTCGGTTAGCTTCGAGAGGTGATTTGTGACTTAGGAGTGCGATCGGAATGGGTTTTGGAGTTGTAGAGAAGATTTTGGCTTAAATTGGCAAAGTTGATATTTTAGTAGTTCCGATTGATAGGCGAGATTTTGATATAGGGTCGGAATGGAATTCCGAGAGTGACACTAGCTTTGTTGTGTAATTTGGGATGTGTGTGCAAAATTTTAGGTCATTCGGACGAGATTTGATAGACTTTTTGATCGAAAGCATAATTTAAGAGTTCTTGGAGTTCTTAGGCATGAATCCTATGTTAAATTGGTGATTGATGTTGTTGTGAGCGTTCTAAAGTTTTGAACAAGTTTGAATAATGTCATGGAATGTGTTGGTACAATTGGTTTGAAGTTCCGGGTAGGTTCCGGGATGTTTTAGGCCGAAAATCATAGCTGTAGCAGGTCCAGAAGGGTTGCTAGCCTCGGAACCCACCCATGCAGTCCGCACGAAAAGGAGTGCGGTCGCGGTATGTGCTGTGTGGACCGCACAAAATGAAGTGCGGCCGCGGTAGGTGTTGTGCGTACTGCACAAAATGCAGTGCGGCCGCGGTGGGGGACATTTCACTGGTCCTACTTCGGAAGCTCATATCTTTTGATCTACAAGGAATTTTTAGATGATTCAAAAACGAGCTGTAGACATTCGTGTCTAGTTTCCAGAAAGGTAAAGATATCAAAATTTGGACATCTGTAGCGAACGTTATGGCCAAAATACTAAAGCCTATCATTGCAGAGGAAAGCCTGTGCGGCCGCGGTCTTTTTGTGCAGACCGCCTCGGGTTTGTGCGGACCACGGTTGATTTTTTGCGGTCCGCGGAGGTGGAAATCTGTGGGGTATTCTATAAATACGTGGTTTTGGGTTTTATTTGATATTTTAACCTACAGAGCTCGGATTTTGGCGATTTTTCTAAGGTTTTTCAAGAAATTCATCGGGGTAAGTGATTCTAACTCAGATTTGGCTAGAATACATGAATCTAATATTGAATTCATCATTTAATTCGTGATTTGGGATGGAATTTGGGGAGAAAATTGCGGAATCTTTCAAAAATGTAAAACGATGATTTGAAAGACCAAATGGTATCGGAATTGGATAATTTTTGTATGGTTAGACTCGTGATAGTATAAGGATTCTAGTTTTGTGAATTTTGTCAAATTCCGAGATGTGGGCCCGGGGGTCGGGTTTTACCAAATTTTGGAATTTTGTGGTAATTCGATTGTTTTCGCTTGGGCTTTGTTCCCTTGGCATATGGTGACGTATTCATTCTGATTTTGGATAGATTCGATGCGCGTGGAGGCCGATTCGAGGGGCAAAGGCGTCGCGAGTTAGAGATTTAGCCGGTTCGAGGTGAGTAATGATTGTAAATGATGTTGTGAGAGTTTGAAACCTCGGATTGTACATCGTAGTGCTATATTGAGGTGAGGCGCGCTTGATGACGAGCGTGTGGTCGTGTACTATTGGGGATTGTGACTTGGTCTATCCTGACTGATGATTTTACCGCGTATTTGACTGAAACTTATATGTTATCATCATGATTTGGGCTGATTGCCATATTCGGGCTTCGTGCCAACTATTTGAACCCTTCGGGGATTTTTATTATTATTTCCTCACTGTTTTGACTTATTAATTGAACTCAGTCATGTTATTTTCCACTGTTTTACTACTCAGCCATTTTTACTCTATTTTGAGACTTAAATGATATTTTAAATGATGTTTTGGGCTGAGAAATACTGTTTTACTAATGCTCGAGGGGCTTGTGAGTATTTTTTACTAAGTAAGGCCGAGGGCCTAGTTGTGAGGAAACACTGATACTGATTTGCGGCCGAGGGCCAGAGATATGTACGTCACGGGGTGGCTTATTGATATTGTTTATGAGGCCAAGGTCCTGTGATATATACGCCACGAGGTGGCTTGACTGTTATGAGGCCGAGGGCCTAGATTTGATGCCACGAGATGACTTGATATTGCGCTTGGCTCATAAGGGACCCCTCTCGGAGTCTGTACACCCCCCAGTGAGCGCAAGTACACATTGTGATGTGAGATTGAGCCCGAGAAGCTGGCACTGTTCTGAGATTTGAGCCTGAGAGGCTGGTATTGTTCTATTTGAGCCCGAGGGGCTGGTATTGTTCCATGTGATTACCCGAGAGGCTGATACTGTACTGAGATGTTGCCCGAGGGGCGGTTTTGTTGATATTGTGCCCGAGGGGCGAACTTCTATTTGTTTATTTACCTGTCAATTACTTGTTTTACTTGTTAAAAAAGGATTTTACTCGATTCTTCACTGTCTACTGGTTTTAGGTGATTTTTACTGCTTCGGTATAGAATGCCTTGTGTTTTACGTGTTTTCTTACTTTCAGTCATTATTTATATTTATTACTCACTGAGTTGGAGTACTCACTTTACTCCCTGCACCGTGCGTGCAGATTCAAGCATAGTAGGTCCCACTCCTGATTGCTGGTCTTTCCAGTCCAGGCGGTGTTTCGGAGACTACGAGGTAGCTGTTGGCATCCGCAACCCCCCGTGTCTCCCTTATCTTATTATTTCTAAGTTCTTCAAATAGTTGTACCAGATATTATATTTAGTAGACTCGTATCAGGATCCTTAGTTGCTCATGACTTGTGACACCCCGGTTAGGGCTGTGTCGGGTTGGAAATTCCGCTTTGTTATCTCTATTTCCGCTAATTGTGCTATTAAATCATGTTTGAACTCTTCTTATGCTATTTAACTGCTTAAAAGGACAAAATATGTTAGACTGGCTGGCCTTGTCTTCAAGAGAGGTGTCATCACGACTGGGTTCGGGGTTAGGGTCGTGACAATAGTCCTACTGTAACTTTCCAATGAGGCAATCTTCAGTTCTATATCAGAAGCCATCATCTAAGATTAAAAGTGCGAAAGCAACTACTAGAGAGTATTTTCAGCAAGTTCCCACTTTTACTTCTGCATTAGCTTCATTAAAGAGTTGTGCAAAGAACAATTTCAAAATGATACAAAAGAAACCAATGAGTTGGTGTTGAACACACTGAAGTATTTTATCCAATAGTTAATCTGCGGCTACTCCAATTCGATAATATGAAACTAGAGAGAAATTTGGGAAAATTACCTGTTTCACTAAAACGACTCCAATGGAAAAGATGCACACTTTCAAGATTTTATATTGATTATTATCCAAGTGAACTTACCATACTTGATCTCTCAGAGAGCCAAATAGAGAGGTTTGGAAACCAGGAATGGACCTGGACACGCAAGAAGATATGTTTTACGTGTCATGCTGATGAAATATTGTTTGTACTTTCAACTATAAGCTTTTACATATTTGACATATATAATGAACTAATGTCAAGTACTTGCTGATTTAAGGGTGATACTCTGGCAATAAAGAAGCTAAAATATGACCTTATAAAAAAACTAAAATATCTCTTATCATCTATGATCAATTATTATTATTATCAGAAAAATTGAGCAGCATTGTATATTAGAGAGCTCCTAAAGGGAATTCATAATGACAGAGGTTTAGTTATATATAATTTGCTTACCTGAATTGCATCCTGTAGTTGATGAAAGACTTGATACGCTCTTAGAGGTATTGACGAACTATACGTATAATGAGGCAGCAAAAATGAAACCTATATTTGTTATTACTCAAATTTCCTCCTAGATTGTCCTCTATTCTAAAGAGAGACATAAAACAATTGAAATGTTATATGCTAAGTACGAGCCTAGAATTCCAAATCTTCAACCTCAATGCTCATCACAAAACTAGAAAATGCTAAAGTTATGTCCCTATAATAAAGTAAGGCCACTTGTTAAGTAACAATAATCTAGCTATTCAAAATTTCTTTATAATATGCAACTAAATGCCTTATAACTTACTTCAGATAGGGAAGGGTCATATTCTTTAGAAGAGAAGGATTCTTTGAAGCAAACTCCTTCCACTCTTCTCGATCTATCTTCCTGTCACCCTTTTTATCTGCTTTACTAAATGTGTGGTGCACAAGATAAAACTTAGGCGTTAAATATGAATACCAAAAAGGCACATAGCTACAGCCAAGCAAAAGATAGAGTCGAGCGGTCAACCTTATCTACAATCATTTCAATTATATCATCTGAAAGAATCAGATATGATTCATGCAGCAGTGCTAAAACCATCTCTTTCAGCTGCAAGTAAAACCAAGCAGTGAATACACTATTAACTCCGCCACACGCACTGTTTCACCTCAGAGCAATATTAGAGTTCCTTTTCTTTCCTTTTTGTTTGGATGAGACTTAATGCTCGTGACAACTGACAAGGGGAGCATAGAGTTAACCAGTATAAGTATGGTTGCAACACCTACCTCTTCTCTCTCAATATAACCAGTTTTTCTTAGATCATACAATTGGAATGCAACTGCAAAGACCTGTCATTTAAGCTGAAATAAAGAAATTAGTACTAATTGTTTACCTTACATTAAAAATGGAGAAAAACTTATTACTCCAAAAGGGATTCCACAAATCTGTCAAGTTCAAGCTCATCGCAATATTGAAATCGAATAAAAGAGAATACTGATAATTCAATAGGTTAAAATCCTAAAATCATTAAACTTGCGACAAATTTTCAATATAAATCCAAAAGTTCAATAGTTTTTGATTTTGCCAAAATTGTCTTTTTCTATTGTTACCTTGAGTTGGTGTGGCTGTGTCGCCGCTGCAATCACCATGTTCCCCTACCTTTATATACGTCAGAGAGAGCACAAGAGAGAGAGGAACAAAAAAGTTACAAACGAAGATAAAAGAAAGCGGTGGTAAGATTAAGATGACTCCACAGAGAATAGCGCAGTTTTTTTAATTTTTCAAAGCCCTTTCTGAAGCATTTGAGAGTCTTAGGGTTTTGTCCCTTTTTTGGTAATCTCACATTGACCAGAAGCTCTAGTAGTAATATGTTTTCCTATTGTTTTCTAATTGGAGGGAATGTAATTTCTTGTCCAAAAAAGTTGGAGGGAAATATTTTCTTCTTTTTTGTAGGGAGAGAAAGTTAAAATAATAATAAAAAAAATTCAATTAGTAATTTTTAGCGGTAATTTTTTTTAATGTCGGTAAAAGGAAATCTTTTACCAGCTAATGGTTATGTGCCGCTAATATTTTACCTTAAATAATTCATTAGCGGCAATTGCCTTATTGCCACTAAATAATTGCCGCCAAAGGCCTTTTTTGTACTAGTGTCCCAAGTACAGCAAGAACGATAAGCAACCTGAAGAGCCACTGGATAAAGAAAATGGGAGATAAAAGTAAAAGAATATCTTATTGAAGTTTTCAGAATAATGTGATAGACATAATGTTAGCGGGAAATAAGAAAAAAGTTAATGAAGCATTATGAATAAGATATGATACATGGGTGACAACGGTAGATCAAAAAGACGATAGTATTACAGAGTTTATAGTCAAGTAAAGGAAAAGATGATAGGTGACAGCCCTTGAGACAACAAAAAAATATAGGCCATAAAGTCATAATCTCATTTTGAGAAATAAGTTCGTGACTCCAACGTGATTACTAGAAGGAAAAGTTGTACCCCCGAGTAATAGAAATCAGTATGGACTGGTGAGCAAGATAAACTAAACATGAATTAGTGACTGAGTGATTTGATAATGGTCGGTATCATGCGAATTTTAGATTGCGTTCTGTCAATAATAGAATGGACAAATAAGAAGATTCATGAGAAATTCAGAGAATGGTCATTCAGGAAGACGCTTCCCTAAAGCAAGCAATGTGAGCAAAGTTAAGTGTCACCCTCATGAGTAAGAAATTTTGTTATCCTTGGTATAGAAGGATTACCGCAAGGCGAGTAAGGGTCATTGATGATGTGAAAAGACGTCATAATCTTAGTACTTCCTTAAAGAGGGGAATATGGAGTGATGTGCCCTGAAGTCAGAATTAAGTGATTCTAGTAATCATAAAATGGTAAAGGAAGAATGCGGTAAAACGAAAAAAGGAATGAGATTACACTTATTCAGGTCCTACGTAAATGCTATGATTCCAGAATATTATGTAAGCACGACGTCAAGAAAAAGAAGTAAGGGTTCCTGCCCGGGATATTATTGATAGATAAGGAAATAACCAAGCATGATTACGCGAAATATGGATTTGAGAATGGGCCAACGAGTAGTTAGTAGTTGATTCAGGAAGAGTCTAGTCATGACTAGACAAGAGGTTACATGCAAATCAGCAAATCATGCAAGATAAATATAGTAAACCTCAACATGGAGAATTCAACCTCGTAGTAATGTCATTATAATACTTGAGATATATTCAAATAAGAGTCGGGATAATTAAAGGTACCGTATGTGTATTACAAAAATAAAAGAGAGTGTCACTGGGAAGACAGTCAAAATATCAGTTCAGAAGCAACCCTATAAGCCCAAGGGCGTGGAGGTAACTAACTACGGATAAGTATAGGCAAGGAAGGACATTAGAAGGTCCGTTGAGTATACAATGTAATTGGCTCACAGCTTTATAAGAGTCAGAGGGTCTTCCCTAAGTACTACAATGAAAGACTAGCTAAGGAAAACAAGGAAAAAAGCTTCAACCTAAACTCAGTGACCTAAAGAGAAAACGGTCTTATAATAATAGTCTCAAAACAACATTATATGCACTCCATAAGAAAGTGGCACCTACCGTAGCTAATGAACTGGAAGTAAAATTAAAAGTAGTATTCGAGGTCATATGAGTTGCACGAAAACTCCTGTATGCGTGGGAACTAATATAAGCTAAGTATGCACGCAACAAGGGGGCATAAAGACCAAGAAAAATGATAGCTAGCGTTAAAGAAAGCTAAGAAGGAACAAAAGGAATTATTCGATCAATGATTCCGAGTAGTTACGTTATGAACGCACTTAAGAGTTTGGAGTATAAGCCATGCAACATATATGTTGACAATAATACAGTCGTAGAAAACTTCGGTATAAGTTAAAAGAAAAAATTGAGTCCAGACCATAGACAAATGATTGAATTGTTAGGAGATTTTATCTTGAATATTCCCTAGTGTCCACGAAGGGCTAAAGTAATACCATGAGCCACAGATCGGAAGATGGCTTAAGCCTACATAAAGGCTGATTAGAAGGAAGAGGAAACTAAAGAGTTACATCAACGAAGTAAATCAGGAGTCTGTTTATTGGACCCAAAAAATTATAGAAATCACGATTGAGAATATTGCAGAATTACTCTTAATATCAAAGATACAAGAGAGATAGTACAATAACCATATTCTATAACGGCTCTACGATAAAGCTAGCTAGAGGAAGTACCAGCCTTATAAGAAGTTAGTATGAAGCTCCCACCAAATTGTGTATGCCCATAGGTGCAAGTATTATAATAGAACTTCAAGTTGTGAACGTGAATTATACCTATGTGAAAGGGAGGTCATGAAAGATATAGAAGATACGATGCATGATTTTAAGGTAAGAAGGGTAAAAGTGGAACAATGTACGAGATACTCAAATGCAGAAGGTTGTGAATAGTCCATACTGCGGATAAAAGGCTAGAAGCGCGGGGATTTAAGGAATGATATCAGCATCGTCAGTGACATACTTTCCAACTTATGGTTTCTAAGTACCGAAAGGTCTAATTAGCGAGTAAAAGAAGAGTTAGAGACGATGCGATATCTCGCTTGATATCCCAGAAAAGCATAAGGCAATTGGTCGCAAGCTAAAGTATGGTAAAGCGACAGGTTTAGGAAGACAAGAGTAAGGATAAGAAAGGGCGAGTGAGGAGGTGACAAGAAATGTATAAGTTCTCGAAATTAACCCCAGGAAAACAAGGGAGTTGATGGTTCCTCTAAGTTATAGAAAGCTCAGTATAGCCTGAAAGAACTCAAAGGATTATAAGATTAATAGCATTTAGAAGAGATGGAATGCTGCCCTGGTAGTAGAATGGGGGTGTGATTATGGGATGCCGTTTGGGCCTTCAATGAGTAATGACTTGAAGAGGATTTCATGAATGGTAAGAGACTAAAATACCCATATAAGGTGAGTCACATTAGGATGCTATAAAGTATGATTATGGAAGTATAGTATCACCCCTAAGTGGATCAATCTAATTGCTCCAGATATCCCCGATAAAACGTAAGCCTTATTGACAATATATTATGTAAGAGGTTTCAAGTTATCCGTAGTAGATTGCAAATCAACATTGAGGTGAATTAACAAATGGATGGATAAAAGTTACAGAGTATGAGATAAGATTAGGCAAACATTCTTATGATGAATGGTAAGGAAAAAGCATTAAAGGATTTAGATGTATGCATATAGGATAAGCAACGAGAATAACCTGGAGTTTGGTAGCAGACCTCAGTAACGATAAATCGAAATAAGAGTTATAGTATAGGATGACCTACCTAGATGTAGTAAAATCATGCGGATGGATAGGCAGGTCTGTGAAATATGATAAAGCAATATTCGTAAATTCGATAAAGTACCGAGCAAAGAACTTCAGTACACCTATATATGCCAGAGGGACATTTTTTCAAGTTCTGTATATGTTCCCAAAAGTGAAGCCTAGATATTGGCTAAAAGCTAAAGAGAATAGTCGCATAGGCACACATATAAGGAAAACGTCGTACAAGCTGCATGACAGAAGATAGCAACTGATTCCGACCATAAGTCGTGGTGTGAGGAAGAGGCCTTTGGATTTGTTTAAAGCACAATTTCCTAAATGACAAGAAGAATATTAAAGACTTTGCAAGAGCTATGGGTTATGAGAATGATAAGTGCATCAGTCAACATTCGAGGACGAATATTCCAAAGGGGGATTGCTGTTATACCCCATGTTTTCGTACGTAAAAGTACCACATAAGTAAATTGATGAAAGACCGAAAATGAGATATCACATCCTGCATTTTCGTACGTTAAAGTTTCGTCGTAAGTTAATCAACGTAAGTTCGGGAATGAGATTATTTTGAGATTATAAACATCATGCTATTTCAAACAAGTGATGAGTAAATTTGTGGAGGTGAGAGAGTAGGCAAATCGAAGAAAATAATTTTTTTCAAAGTTTGACATGTAGGGATAAAATACGGCCTAAGCTAAAATGCTCGATATTTATGGGCTAGTGCCATACAAGGTACCACATGACCATGATAGTAACGTGTATAAGGTATGTTAAAAGTGGGTAGTATTTTAAATAATTTGAGATAGTCCTTAATTATGTGGATAATTGATTAATAGTGGAGATAATTGTTGTATTAAGTGGATAAGAGTCTTTTTGGAATTTCCACATGGCATAAGCTTAGCCAACGTGGCAAATTATAAAAATGAGTCACTAGACAAAGTGATAACTTGTTAACGTAAATATTGTTTGGTCTCTTTATTCGAAAAGTATAGGACTTTGCAAAGTTAAGAAAAATAACATTTCTATATCATTAACAGAGAAATAACAATGATCCAGCGTGAAATCTCTCTGAAATCTTACAAGATCCAACGTGAAATTTCAGAGAGAAATGATACAAAATCCAACATATTATGCTAATTAAAAAAAAAAAAGCCAGGTACAATCTTTCTTAAGAATATCATACGAATTTTTCCCTGCTTCGATCCGTCATTACATGTTTCCGCAAAAGAAAATCGGTTCAGGTATGCTAAGTCTATCCCTTCTTTCCTTTTGGCATGATCCATACGATACAAACGAAACGAGCAAATGCACAACTTCCACCAATGACTCTATTCATAGAAATACTAGAGATGCTTATGTTCTTGATTCTCCATGTGTCATATTATTTTATCATTTGTTCATGGGTCTCAAAAATACGTAAGTTGGTAAAGTTTATTTCATGATATTAGTCAGAGGTATAATGGTCTTATGACGTACGAGAGATTTTATTAACATATTTCATATGCATTTCATGCATTTATACATGC